ATCGGAGAAGACACTTTTGGAACAAAATTATATTAAATTTTTTTCGCTAAAATTACCATCTACACTATCTAAAAGAGGAAAGGTTTGCATTTTTGTATGTATTGAAATCGATCGATTTCAAAAATTCTTACATCATTAGAAAGCTACGTTATGCCGAGTAATATAGTCTTTATTTTTAAATTTCACGTGGTCAAAGTCACGAGCAACAGCTATATATTAAAAAGCGGAAAGATTCGGATTTTTAAGATAAGTATTTTTGAAATAACTCAAATACTACTGGTCCGATTTCTAAAGCTATGTTATCACTGAGTAGCATAAGCTATATTATGTAACTTCACGCACAAATTCGCAACAGCTAGTAAAAAATAAAATATTTCGAATAATAAGTATTTTAGAGAATAAACAATAACCCCACCTGTCGTATAAGTGTGGCCTGCGCGGAGTACATGGTGAGCACGGTGATGTCATCAGCGGAGTAGCCCACTTTCCTCAGGTAATTCGCCAGAGACACACACCACAGCGCCTCGTAACTGTTGCTGTAGCTGCAACTGTCTTCTACACCCTGAAAAAACAAATTAAAAGTGGCATTAGCAAGGGATGGGACGAGGTAGGGGAAATATTTCTTCCTTTTTTCTGTTATAAGTTCTTAAGGACTTTTATCTAGACAAAAGAAAAATCACTTTCTATTATTATTTTTACACCCACAAAACCGCAAAATCTTCACGGGAAAAATATATTTGTTACTTATACTAGTCTTTTTTCGCGACTTCATCCGCGTAAAGTTAAGAAATTAAAGTTACTCACTGATAATGTAGCTTTTTAAGGGTAGTAGAAATTTGGTAATCAATCCAGTTGTTTTTGAATTATTCCAAAACATACAAAAATACAAATGTTCATATTAATATATATAAATAGATAACTGTTACAAATACCTCTGAATCTTCATACACATTATGGGTGTAGAAGTAGAGGTCATCCTTCATCCCTCTAACGTCAGGGTAATTGTAGACGGAGGGGTGTGTGTGCAGCGTGTGGTACACAGCGGGCACCAGCAGCTGCGCGACATGTGCGCGCGCGCGGCGCTGCGTGCGCAGGACGCGCGCGTGCTGGCAGTTACGTACCATACGTTCGAACAAGGAAACCTCTAAGTTGTAGTATTTCGCTAGTCTATAATGCGCGGCGGACGGAC